GGTCCGTGCTGGACTCGCTGGGTGGCCGATCGTCCCTCCATCTGACCCACTCATCGAATTCATTCCTCTCTGTAACCACAGGGAAGGAATTGTTCAGAGACATCCAATATATATCACAAGAAGACGATCCCGATAGATCAAACCTCTTTTCTGTTTTTCATTAACACTGCGGCGTCTGAACCCTACTGCTTAATAGATGCAGTCGCAAGTCGCCACTTGGTGAACGGACAGGCCACCGCGTAATCCTACGCCAACACCGAAGGGCCAGATGGCCGAACAAGCATCACTCCGGAGTCTGCCACGCGTGATGAAAGTTCAGCAGGTCAGAGCCCGCATACTGTTCAACAAACTATCAACGCACAAGAAGGCAATTACCGTTAATTGTCGTCGTGTGTTTGCAGTAATGACTGTATCCTATAAATACTGCAAACTACTGTGCATACGCTACCCGTATTTGCTACCACTCTCCAACTATGTCACTGATGACGAAACCGCGACGGATCTCGAAACGTCAGGCTAAAAAAGTATTGTCTCAGCGATCGAGTCGTCTTCTTCTCAAATGCATATTACTTTGTAATGGGGTCTTCTAGTAAAATGAAACTCGGGCACCTTTAGACAATTACAGCATAACTCGCCAGATAGTTACTTTTGCGACCCAAAAGGGACTAGAAAATGAATATTGACTTGTGATCGCTCGTTGGTAACAAGGTATTCTTCTTGTTGTTTTTGCTGTTTCTCTTCCAACCCCTCAATTAATTTTGATTTTAGGAGGGTGATACAGGTGCTTTCTGCTGGACTTTTCCTACCTGGAAGTGCCGGTTTCATTGATCCCTGTGAGCCTAACAACCGGCGAGTGCATTCCTCCATCCCTCTGCTTCAGAAGGTGTGTGGGGTTCCCTGTGCCCAAGTTTCTACCATCATTTCTTTGTTTAGTTCGATACTTGGGTTTTAATCCTATATATTTTTTTTGGTTCACAACTCGAGTGATCTTCGTATATGCTTTCGACGTCTCCACTAAACGCCTATTTTATTCAACAATTTTGTATCGCCCCTAGTCATTTTATGTTGGCGTCATAAACGCAATAGAAGTCTATGTACCTCCCTGTTGGTTTAACTAGAATTATTATAGTGGCCTTTTGTTGTATATTTTGCATCCGGTGCGTTTTAGGATGAAATATGCTGTGCTGCTCAAACAATTTGTCGAATCATCGGACAAAATAAGTACTCTGTTCTCTTTGACGTTCAACGTGGCAACTCACCCCTCAGTCCAGGTACGTCTGCCAGTGCCTCTTACCTCATTCTATCAATTACACTGAATTTCCACATATTCCGTCTGCCAACTGTACACCCGAAATAATTTGAAATTTTAAGTTCGGTATCTGCCTGCTGTGGTCTTTGGTAGTCCAGCCCCTTCTGAACTATTTACCTCACGACCATATGATGTAAGTTTCCATTGTAACCTCACGGTTCGCCATCTGCGCCTTTGCCGTGACCTGCATTTTCACTTTTCCAGAAACCCTGACCAGTTTGGCGAACAAATTGCCGGGATTGGAGGTCCTTTTGTCTGAACCGGTTTATGTAGAACCGCCTTCGACTTCCGTCGAAGATTCGTCCAGGCTGGAGACTGACGAGGACGGTATAAGTGAAATCGAGGCCATGGAAAACCACGAGGCTGCTGTCTAGTTTGAACAACTATCCGGTTTTAAAACAGTAACGCGCTGTACCGGCCTCTGCTGGCTATTTAACTAATCTCCGCATTTCTATGTATTGTTTTTTTATAATTAACATTGAAGTAAATTTCCTGCGAAGTAAACTGTAGTTTTATTTTGAATATTCGAAACATCCTGCCTTTTTAGTGATTGTCACCTAGAGCGCGCATCCTAACTGTTCCTATTGCTAGGCGACATCATTTGGCATCATTGTGGTTGACTGCAATCAAACGATAGGTGCGTTGGACTGTCCTTTTTTCATCCAGTCAATTATACTAAGGGAGTTGGGATGGCAGACTACGGTCACGTCAGGGTGTGGGACTGCTATGTGGTGTTTATTGCAAAGACAGACTGTAGTTTAAACGACTGAACTGACCACCGCCTCAGACGAGACTGAGCAGGAGACGCAATCGCTGCAACAAGGATTTGGTTTGCCTAACTTTTCGGATTCATACAAACGCATGGCCGTGCAGGGCATCAGTAAGGATAGTGTCTGCTCATGCGTTGCAGTAGTTATAGGATGCAGTTTTCTATCTCAATTGTGTGAAATCCTGGTGCTTGTATTTGGGGGGGGGCAGATCGCGTACGTAGTACGCGTAGACGAGGTCAAATTACAGATCAGCAGCTGCACCAGTCCACGGTGGTTGGGACTTATGAGTGAGGTAAACGACTGAGCGCTTGAAGCTTACACGAAGCACCTACATGTTAAGTATGCCGACGAGATGGTTGTTGGCCATCCTGCCAAAAGTGAGACTCGTCTTCGGTTTCCAAAGGGAGGTTGCCATGGCTACTTCTTAAAGTGACCTCTAACGCTCTCGCGCATGTGAGCCACTTAATCCCTTTTGTCTGATGTCCTGATGATTTCACTTGGTGGGGGCCAGTCGTGTACGTAGTACGCGCATTAGATACATCACCCGCTGCACCAGTCCACTGATCAGCTCGGACGGTGGCTGGGACTTGGAAATGATAATAGAGAGTGAGGCCGACGACTCAGCGCACTTTACTATAAACAATCTGACGCGCTTGAGGCTATAACGGTGTGCAAAAAGCCATGGTTTGGAGGGTTGCCACCTGATAACTCGGATCGTGCGGTCATTTCAGTTTGTGTTTGTGGATTGGCTGACTGGCGGCGTGAGCGTCAGGCTGAACTGAATCCTTCTTACTGTGGTCTTTACGGCACTCCCAATCCGTGGGATCCAAACATGCACTCAATGGAAAAGAAGAATACCATTTTTCAACTGTATAAAACATATACACCTTCACTTGTTCCCGCAGATTAGGTTTCATTTTTCGAAGGCTTAGGTGTCTATTTAAGGCGCTGTGAAAGTGCAGTAGGTAAGTAGGTAACTCATGAAATCCACTGTTTGTTTTTATAAGAAACTCCTTGTTACGCAAGCACAGTCCAAGCTGCGCCCCGCAAAGTCTTACAGCAATAAAGTAATGATCATTCTTCAAAATAGTGCACATTGCGATTTATAAAGTAATAGTATGTTATCGAGAAATAGCAGCTTATTTAGCAAAACAAGAAATTCCAAAAAAGTGAAAATTGTGCGTACCAGGTACACTTGAGTTTTAAATGTAGAGGAAGCCGGTTCATGCAAAAAACCGAGGGAATAAAGCAGCACAGGTAGAATTACGTTGGAAAATGACCGTTTTGTAAAATTTTCGGATACATATGCTCCCATATTACGCGTAATGTAATGTATGGCTTTCACCGAACAGCCCAAAGTTAGAGTACGTATTCCAATACGGGTCTACGCGAATTGTTGGTTGTTCTTTCCGTTTATACATTGCTGTTCTCTGAGCAGACATAATTAAAAGGTTTCTAGTCCTTATTACTGTTATTTTATAGTATAAACGCACAAGTAAGAAATTTTGGTCCGCAGTGTTTAATAGTGTAGGAAATCCCTTGGAGATAGACAAACGTTGAATTTGGCCCCATTTGCCTCTATAATACTCATCTGAACTGATCTCTTTTCTAGTAAACAGCATTTGCGCCTCACCTCAACTTAATGAACAAAATAAACAGCCCAAAATATGTGTTAACTGTCCCACTAACATTTTGAGCTTCACATTTCATCAGATATACAATCTACTACACTATTTTGCCCGGTTAAACCAAAGGATGCAAAAGTCAATCTTTGGCGCAAGTGTACCTCGTCTGATTGGCACCGACTACCAGGCAGACGTCAAGCCTGCGTTTCCAATCAGCTATAAAGTGCCAGCGAAATAATCCAAATTCCTGCGTCAGCGGAGACTTGCGACGATAGTGGCAGTGACCATATGGTTAGGTGACCCAAACTTGTGCTTTCAGAAGGCGTTTGTTCAAGCATTCAAGCTGCCATGGCCAAGGAAATCCGCATATGTTTGTACCCGCACTCTGCCACGTCGCGTTACGGAGCAGAAACCTCAACATCTATCACTGGCAGATTCCTATCCCATTACTCCGCTTTCTTCTGTTTCCGACAGAGCTAGGCAATATTTAGCTTCTGTTTCTGTTCCGTCGTCCCATTCTCCAGCAATAATGTTCGTTGGCCGCTGTTTTCAGTTTTACCTGATCCACCCCATGTTAATGATATGACTGTGGACATCTAATGATACACAAGCAAAAACGTGCGTTCGCTGAGTTTCACTTCTTCAAAAGCTGTATGATGCAGCTGGGGAGATACAAACCTGCAAAGTTAAATTTGGACAGTCTCTCAAAGCACCATTTTTAAGGGTTGAACATCTTACTCATTACACTTTTTAGTCCTCCGAGCTAAGTGTTATAGATGGTGTATTTCCGCCCGTTACATTAACTCGTATGAGTAAAGAAGTACCGAGAACAGAAACCATTTGCTTATTGCACTCAAAATTTGCTCTACCTACAATAAATGAGTAGTTCTTAAGTCTTAAGTCGCGCATTTTCGAAATCCAGGCGTTGGTAGGTGTAAATGAGAAGACTGACAGAGCACCGGAACCATTTGTTTATTTTTCTGAGTCCTCGAACAAACACAGACTATATCGTCAGAGATAAAAAAGCAGCAACAGTCGTAGGGGGTGTTTTTTAACCAGCAAACAGTGACATCGGCATGGAGGTGGTTACGCAGAGCTCTGATGCCGGCGCAAAATATATACACTAATTGACGAGCTGTAACTTGAGGCCTAGGCTTCAGTCAATTCTCGGCATCTATTGTTTCCGGCGTAGGTGATAGTGACATAAAATTTGCGATCTGTTTTGAAGGTGTGAAGAGCCGCTTGTGATATTTTTTCATTCTGTTGCACAGCCAGCTTATGTTCATGTACGCGTGATCTGAGCATGCATTCAAGCGTAATTACATAGACAGATTAAGCAGACGATGCAAATCACCACGGGTGAACAGTGAACCCGTTTCTGCTACTGTTTCCTGCTCATGTCTCTGATGATGAATCCGCGACGGTGTTTAAACATCAGGCGAATAAACGTATTGTTCCAGAGATCGAATCGTCTTCTTCGCAAATCACCACTTCCGACTGCGCTCTCGGATTTAGTCACTCTTTTATCTTTAGCACACTGCTGTTTACGGTAACTTGGGGCCTCAGGCGATTCCAACATCTGGTAAGTGCATCTAACCATTCCGCATGCATTAGTTGAGGACGTGTCGGGCCTCTTCGCGCTATCTTCTGGGTTGCTGCAGCGAATCTAGACCAATTTGAAGAGTTCTCAGACAGTTTCATTCATGCACTACGGGATGGTTACAGTGAAAACTGAAAAGTCGCTTGGTGTTCGTCATCCTTCTGTAAACCATGATCTATTTTTTCACCGACGAGACTTCGCCTGAAGGGCACACAAAAGACGGGTAGCTACCGCTCCCTCCCTCCCTTCCTTCCTCGCTCGTGAATTGTATATCTGGAAAGCTTTTGTTTTATTATCCTGAGCTTTTGAACTATTACGTCCATCGTCGGAGATAAGAAACAGCAACAAAAGAGGGGCTAATTATAGTGTGTGTATCCCAATCAACCTTCGAGGGTCATCAGGTCGTGAGGGTTAAGAAACCACGATGAAAAAAGGGCGGGGAGGGATGGGGGCAATTATAGAGGTATACGTTGATTAACCGTCAGCAATTTTAACGTTCATCAGGGCGTCAGCAAGGATAGTGTGGCAATTATAGTGGATGTGGGCCTAATTAACTGTGACGGACGTCTGGCTGTGACTGTACGTGATTGCACAAAGCTCTGTACGCGGGCGCCGATTCGATAATTGGTTGATTGAATTCCCAACCGTGGACCAGGCTTCAATCAATTCTCTGCTGCTCTTGTTTCCAGTGTGGGTGAGTACCTTGACGGCCGCGAATTTGAACTCATGGCCCGTTTCATAGGTATGAACGGCAACTTGTGATAATTCGTCGCCTCGTCGTACGGTCAACTGGCGTTCATTTATGCGCGATCCGAGCATGCGTTCAGTTTGGGCCCACATCCGCTATAAAGGCCACACTTTCATTGCTGACGTCCTGATGAACGTTGACATCACTGAAGGTTAATCGACGTATACCTCTATAATTGCCCCCATCCCTCCCCGCCCATTTTCATCGTGGTTTCTTAACCCTCACGACCTGATGACCCCTGAAAGTCGATTGGTGTACACACACTATAATGAGCCCCTCTTTTGTTGCCGTTTTTTATCTCCGACGATGGAATCCTGTAAGAGTTTGAAAGCTCAGAACAATAACCAGATTGATCCGGTGCTCGACAATCTTTCTTCCTTATCCATGCAAATACCTGGAACGCGAACGTCCTCAATTATCTGAAATCGACTTTTATTGAATGGAGGTTGTCGTTTCTAATTCAGATATAATCAATTCTGTTACTTAACCGGAGATTGGGGAGCCCATTGGAATTCACTTGATCTGCTTACAGATTTCTAACTCAAAGGCTAAGAAAACTTTTTTTAGCGAGATTCGAACAGTCGCATGAGATGCTCAAATGTGGACGGGCTCTGAGTTTCGTAGTATACCT